GCCACTGCTGCCATTTTCGTGGAAACCAAATCAGCGAGTTCTTTCATCTGGAGCCACCAACGCTCAAAGAGTACTTAGATATGCTCGAGGTAATCGTCATTTGATAAAACGAAAAAAATATACACTGCATGACATTTTGTTCACATTTTTTATCAAAGCATTCATCAATTGCAGCATTGACTCCTGTTGTTTCTTTGTCTCCTCGTGTTGTTGTCGCATTTGTTCAGCAAGAACAATTCTGTTCTTTTCACGTTCATTCTGTACTTGTCACGCTCTGAACTTTTCTCGATGAAATTCCAGCTCGTACTTGGATTGCTCGTGACCATTGCCATGGACTTCATCATCTTGCCCCCTCCAGTTGCGCTGCCACGGTCATCTTCGTTCCCTCGCTTGCGTTTACCGAGGGCCGCCATGGCCACGTCACGTACGAGTGCCCCCATGCTTTCGTTATGCTCTAATGCTTGTTTTGAATACATGGCACGACGAGCTTCGTCGTCCTTTGCATCTTCGTACTGTATGCAGCAAGGAGGTCAACCAACATGGTCACCTTTTCTGTTACCTCCTCGTCAACTCCCGACGCACGCGCAGACTCTTGGTTTCTCCTTTTGTGATCGTCAATAAGGGCATTGAATCTGTTGCTTGCCTTCTTGGCATCGAGATCAGGACGTCAAAACTCGTCTGAGGACGCAAGTGACTTGGCGACAGCCGTCCACTTGTCCATTATGAGTCCATGGCGTGCAAGGAAGGGAATTTCGGAGGCCACTTGACGGAGCAGCAAGAGATTTTCCTCCTCGGAGAAGTTGCGACGCTTTGCCTTTGGTGGCATGTTGAGTTCATTTCGAATTGCAATCTATGGAACGATTCCGCACATTCGCCCAAATGTGAGGAAAAACAATCAGGTTGTGAAGGTTCCACAACAATTTGGGGGTGACACTCGGGTTTTGTCAACATCTGGAATTGTACGCTGTGGGAAATGTATGGAACGTTTTGCGGAACCTCTCTAAGCAAACGTCTTGCGCAGATGCGGCGGGCCATTCTTTACGGCGGCCACGACTTGGTCCAAGGTGCGCTTGGGTCGCCGCCCGGCTAGACCCTTCTTCAAAAAGGTCACGTCAGCTCGGCCCGCCAAGGCCTTGGGCTGCTGTCCCCGAGTCCAAACCTTGGAGAGCGCCTGTCTTGAGATGCCATACTTCTGAAGTAGCTCTGCAGCCTAGCCCTTGGCCAGGCGCCTGTTTTGCTTGTTTTCCACAAGGTGGTGGAAGCTCCAGCGTTGGTCGTGGGAAAGTTGTGGTACGTCGTGGCGCGCTGCATCGTGTTTTGTCAATAACGCGGCCCACAGTATATGTTGAGGTTTGCTAACAATGCCTACGCAACGAGACGAGTCGTTTGCGCTTAATTTGAGCTCGATTGGACGAGAAATGACTGAGCTACTGAAGTTTATATATTGGGTGGACTTTGCTGGCAGTAAAAAATCTGAAATAGCCCCGTACTTGTCATCTCATTGGCTATCTTTAGTCCAAATTTCTTTGATTTTGGTGGATTTTGCACAGAAACTGATTTGAGAGGCACATGTCCCCAGTTTTACGGATTGGAGGAAGTGCAAAGTATCTCAACAGATAGTGTACATAATTTGGAAACGTGCCCGGCAGCTCGACAGAGGCAACCACGGTAGTGCTGTGAGTAGAAGAAAGGGAAAATGCGGGCGAAAGCTCATGACTCGGACGTTTTGGAGAAGATTAAGGCAACGGACCCAAAGGACCGAACTACGTTGCGTGATCTTGCTGCGGCCACAGGAGTTCCAAAGCTCGTTCTGTTCAAGCGGCTCAAATCAGCGCCTCTCAAGAAATACCTCGTCCATTGAAACCATTCTTAACACCATCTAACATGAATTTCCGTGGCATTTGGGCTCAAAGCCACATACGCTCGGATGTTCAGGTTGCCAAAATGGTTAATTATGTCCATGTTGATGAAAAATGGCCCTTTCGCAATGTAACCAGGTGCACATTTTTCTGTTTAACTGGTGAATCTCCTCCGCCACGATCCGTGAAAAACAAGAACTACTTTTGAAGGTACTGCACCTTCAAAAGTAGTTCTTGTTTTTATTTTGTCATTTGTTTTGCGGCAAAATAAATGACAAAATACTAAATAGACTATGGTTCTTTGTGCAGTGACGAAACCTCGTTAACACCGCAATAAACATGGTGGGACGGATAAATTAAATGCTGGCAGTTTACTGAAAAGGTGCCTGCTGCAAGAACCAGCATCAATCGAGAAAAAGGCACATTGATTACAACTTCTGTCGCAGTTATAAGATCTGTCTACAAGAAAATTCATTTGAACAATGTCATACCAGCGATTAATGGGCTCTGGCCAATCGTTGAAAGCAAAATGATTAAACCCCAGCAAGGCAATGCCGGACCACACATACCTGTAGACAATTTTGGCGCTTTGTACGCAGGGCATTGTAATAGTTTCAGCATCAATGTCGTATGCCAGCTTGTCAACTCAGCCGATTGCAATGCGCTTGATTTGTGCTTCTTTCGTGCTCTACAAAGTTTTCAAGTGAAGTGCGCCGCAAGAACTATTAACGACATCGTAAGGAATGTGCATGGTGCATGGGATGATGAACCCCATGACGCTACTTTCCAACTTTCGCACGCTATGAGTCGTAATGTTGGAGATTTCGAAGAATGGTATCGGAAACCAATTCAAGATCCATCAGCTGATGAAATCCAAACTGGAGCGTGTCGGCCGCTTGTCCGAAATCTTAGTGCGACCCTTCTATAGTTGCCGTTGACAGGGACTTTCTTGTAGAACACGACTACGCGGCCCACCTTGGAGTTGTCAAAGCTGAAATGGCACGTGCGGAAGATGAAGTCGCGCTGTTTTGTTGCGTGGAAGAGATGCACATTGAGTCGGAAGATCATACCTGCGTCGAGTTTGATGTCTCCATCATGGAGTTACTATTACTATGCGACTGTGACATTTAATTTTATGCGACGATAATTCTTAAATGTTGGGAGTTTTCATCTTCATCGACGAGTTTTACCCATAAAATATATAAAATGCCTATTGTCGTCATTACAGAAGAGAAGAAACAATTTCTGACAGATATTGCGTTTTTGTTTGAACCTACTCTTATACATTACAACAATTGACTTCACAACGACTATCAAAATAATGAAAACAATTAGTTTTGAAAGGTTATACCCTTCATGATCAATTGACAGTGCCCGACAGCAACGAGTAGACTTTTCACCTATATTTTTGAAAATGAACTCGGATTTATATAAGAGTTTGTATGCGATATGCGCAATTTCAAGGGAAACCAACCTATATATAAAGCCTTCAAAAAGGCATATTCTTTGAAAAACGTTATATTCAAGGCTGGATTTTGTACCAATATTCACTTTGTTACCCAATAACCACTGTACTTTTATTATGAATACATACCACACAGTACCCTCAATTTTTCATACACTCCATGAGGTAGTTTCGTCTCTGTTGTGGAACAAAGTAGTGGTTTCATAGCAGTAGTTTCCCAAGAAGGGCTGTCGTCCATTTCATTTGCACTTCATCGCAATGGCCACCAATGCACAGACTTGCATGGAGTTCGTGAAGATGGTGCGTTCTCGTTCGCTTGTATGGGCCAATATCAAAGGTCATGTTAGTGGCCGCAATACTGATGCCATTGGACTTTCTGATGCCAAATAAAGACTCAACGAGGCGTTTAAAGTATTGAAGCCAAGTACCATCAAAGGCTGCATTAAAGCAGCAGAGGGTAAGTTGCAGAAGCTGTACGATCATTTGGTGGCAATTGATGCTTTAGATTCCGACGAGGAATCATCAGCTCGATCCTGCAGTGATAGTGAAGCTGGAAGTGACAGTGAGCTTTGATGTATCCTCTTTGATATCAAACCTTCGAACAGTTAATGACTTTATGAAGATAAATTCTCAAAGTTATGTTTACACTTGCTATTTGTATATTTTTCGAATTCGACAATGATTTGGCGAAGTCATTCGATGCTGTCGGGCACTGTGAGTGCAGTCATCATTTGCATAATAAAATCGAACTGGTTCTTCCACATAAAGCGGAACGGACTTGAACAATTTAAGTACGTGTCCGAAGCGTGTCGCATGTCCGCGTCTACCAGATGAACTGGCTCTTCCGGTAAAACTGGGATGGGGCTGTGTACGAGACAAGTTTGAACAACACTAAAGGGAGAGATGTCCAGCACAGTCTCAGTGCATACGGCTAACAAATCAAACACAAAGATGCGTCGAGTTGCGCCATTTCTTCTCAGGTCGCATCGGCCACCTTTGCCAACGACAGCTGCGTTCGGCAGCTCGATGTTACTGGACCTGGTAGAGGAGCACCACTTGTCACATGCTGCGGTGAGTTTCGCCAGTTCAGCGATAGTAGTGCTCGTATTTATTCCCTAGAGATCAGCAAGTACCATCGGTTAGCGCAAGTTGCCACACACTTTGGAAGCACACCGACTCGTCATAAATCAAATTAGCTGGATCACAGGCGGACGGCAATCATGTGTTTGTGTCGTTACAACACTGCATACTTCGTTCCTTCAGCTGTTCCTCGACAAGGTCGACGTCTTCGTACGCTGCCCTTTCTGAGCCCGAGGGGGAGTGTCGTGCGGTGAAGTTAGGGATCGAAACCTCGAAATTTGGGACACATATCCGACTCTTTTCCACTTGAGCTTAAAATCCCCCCTTGCTGATGAGCACGACTCGGTCTGTACAGGATGCGTGAACCGTACTTGTAAATCGGCCCTCGAATTCGAGTGTTCAACAAACTAGCATCATCGAGACTCATTTAACCATCCACTGCGCATGCCCCAGTTGACCCGATCGATTCCGATTCTCTGACTTCAAACACCATATATGCCCAATGACGCGGGGTGCCCGATCTTGGGACATGCTACACTTGTCACACACAAAGCTCGCAAAGTATCTCATGCTGCTCTGAAGCCTCTACAGGGAATGGGGACCCGTCGCTAGCTCCGCCACTCTTAGATTCACCAGCAATGGTACTATTCCCGTCGATTCAAGCCGCGTCCGCCGCCTTGGTGGTCGCCTTGGCCGCGGCCACCTCATCCACCCAAGGCATGTCGATCACCCAGCCCGGGGCAATTTCTGACGTCCTTGAGGCAACTCCGCCGCTGAATTGCGTCCTTGACGAGGTGGCGTACACCATCACACCCGACGTGACTTTGGACGGAACTGATATTGGAACAACCTCTCAACGTGATCCAGCCAACTGCTGCTTGGACTGTCAAAGCAAACCAGGGTGCATAGCTTTTAATTGGTATGATGGCGTGTGTTCTCTCAAGTCCACCCAAGGCAAGTCGTACCCCTCGCCTGGCGTCGTCTCCGGAGTCATAACGTCTTCAGCGCCGCCCGAACCGACAACTGCCCCCGCATGCCCGCGTATTCGTAAATCCTGGGGCGCCCTCTCAGCCTCCGAACAGGAAACGTTCGTGTCGGCGCTGGAAATCGCCATGGACCGGGGATTGTACCAAAAGTTTGTTGCCATCCACCAAGAGAAAATGACCAACATCGAGGCGCACGGGTCGTGTGTGTTTCTATTTTGGCATCGCCAGTTCCTCCTCGGGTTTGAGAACATGCTGCGCAGCCTTGGCGACCGGTTCAAGTGCTTGACGCTGCCGTACTGGGACTACGTCGAGGACTACGCGACGATGCAAAACACCCCTATAGCTAACCGATGTCGGTCCATCGAAGCGTGCTCCCCCATCACGACGGCACTTGGCGGCTCCACGCAAGGGTCCATTTCTAGTGCGAATTTTTTCGGGCACTCCTTCTTGACCTATCGCTGCGTGAACCAACGCCCTGTCAACCACATGTGCACGACAGCCGGCTCTGCGTCATGCCCAAAGTGCCTCCCTCGTGGCGACTGGGCTAATACGCCCATGATTTCCGACATGAGCATCTCAAGCGTTCGCCGGAGTGTCCTCAGTGGATCCAACGTCCTTGCGGTCTCGCAAGCCATCGAGTATTCACCTCATAACATCATTCACTCAACGCTCAACGGCCCGATGGCGAACGCCCGCATTTCCCCCATGGACCCGATCTTTTTCATGCACCACAACACGATCGATCTCCTCCACACGATCTACTACCACTGCCGCGTCGAGCCACTCAACTTGAGCGACTCGCAACAGAAAAACGACATGCGGTCGTTCCAGGGTTGCAGCACCAACAACGGGGAAACCGTGGGCCCCACGTCGACGCTTCGCATGCGGGTCATGACTGGCGGGCAAGCCATCGACGTTGCCAACGATCCCCTCATCGGCGCGTTCTTCAAGGACTTGCCGAACCAGTACTACAAGCTCACCGATGTTCGCCAGCTCGGGTACTCGTTCGAGATGAAGGGACTCCTCGGGGATTTGTACACCAAGTGCGACGGCAGCACCGCCGTGAGCAGCATCAGTTCCGTCGAACGCGCCACCAACGTCACGATTGACAACGTCGTCGAGCCGGTCGTGTTGGCCGAAGACAAGAACGTGCTGGCGTTCGAAGAAGCCGTCCTTGCCCAGGCGGCGAGCCAGGGTCTGACTGTGGCCGAGGGGTACTTGGAGGTCGACAAGATGAACGTGATGCTCCAAGAGAACTGTCTGCCGGGGTCCGTCGTCGACTTCACGCCCGAGTTCAAGGAGATGTGGCACATCACGGGCATGTCCAAGTCGTTTGCCCTCCTGCAGGACATCCAGAGCGGGAAGAACCCCATCCGCATCAACCAGTGGCAGGACATCCTGGCCAAGTACTTCAACTGCCGCGGCGATGTCAAGGAAGTCGCGTAGCTTGCATTCGTTCATTCATGTAATATCCCATGTCGCAATGTCGACACCGATTCAATCCATTCCTTTGGGACGCAAGCATGTCCTTCCACCCAAAGCCCGGCCGACACGTTCGAGATGATCGAGCTCGAAGGGTAGACGTCACTCATTGTTGCGGTGCACTCTATCAACTCAAGATGCATGAAACAGTGCCCCAAATGGCCCTGGCAGAATGGTCGTGGAGACAATTTGCTGCCACGAGGACAGCAGACTGCCTTAAGGTGTGAGATCCACGCCGTGGTATTGCCGAAACGCAACGGCAAACTTGTTCGACGTACCAGAAGTCCCGGGGTTTCCAGTCGCGGCCGGTCTTTTTTGGAAATCATCAAGATGCTGACTTTGGATTGTGTGTATTGGCCAGAGATTCCCCGAGGTATGGATGAAATATATCAAAGAGTATTCCGACGACTCGGTGGAACATGGTGCGCTTATGAGCGCACTTGTCTCCTATGCACCGAGTCAGCGGAGTCGTACGCACACTTGCTGGTGGAGTGCCGGTACATCGCGACCGTTTGGAAGTCGTTTGCGCCGCTGCGTCGCCGGCTGCAATTGCGTCTCCCGCAAACCCTCGTCGAATTCTATTCGACATGCCTGCTGGAAGGACATCCCAGTACATGACCACCATTGCCGTGCTCTGGCCCATCTTGCGCGCTTGCGTCTGGTACACGCTCTGGCTCGAAACGATCGTGTCTACCGCGCGTCGCTGAGCCCTGCGCTTCCGGAGTCACTGGCCGTCAAGGCTGCGTTGCTCGTACGCACGTGTAACCGTGTACATTATCCGGACACATCCGCTTTTCTCGACACTGACTTACAGGTAACGACGGAAAAATTCACCCAGTGGTACTACCTTGTTATCTTGAAATTTGTATTGGAAATATATTCAAAAGTGATGGGTTTGGATCGTGATTAAATTGTTCGCCAAACTTGCTACTGTTGTTTGATTGGACAAAATAAACCCATTTTCGACAACGACGAGATGATTACACAACGAAATTCAATTACTGTGAAGAGTAATTACTGTGAAA